CGCGCACTCGCCTCGCCTCGCCTCCGCTCGCACAATTCCCACACACCTCATTGAACAATTGTGTTCTCGCCCGCGCCCAGAAACATCGTAGGTGCAAGGATCAAGATTAGAAGGCGAAGCGCAGCGAGCCTTAAAATCTTGTGTATATATATATAGCGTGCTGCTGCGAAACCACATGTTTTTTTGTTATGTAACGGAGGTGAAGGGGGTGATATCAAAATGGAACGGACAGCCCCCCTACCGGGCAATCGATTTCGGTTTCGTGTTCGTTTCGTGCGTGACCCGCGCGTGTTTCGCGGCGAGCCGAAAGAGAAAATAAAAAAAACAAAAAAAAATAAAAAAAAAAACAAAAAAAAGCGAAAAAAAAAAAAGAAATAGCTGCGTGGGCGTGCGAGAAGAAAGTCTCCTTTAAAGACTATAAAATAAAAAAATAATTAGCCAAAGCACAGCACACATCTGAAGAGCGCGACCCGGACCAAATGACTCCCTTCCGGCGTCCGGTGGCCCGCGGTGTCCTGCCGGTGTCCCGCCTCCGGCTGGGGCGCAGCCGTACAAAATGACTCCCGTCCAGCATCAGGAGGCCCGCGGTGTCCCGCCGGTGTCCCGATGATGATGGTGATGACGATGATGATGATGATGATGATGATGTCGATGATTTTGATGATGATGGTGATGACGATGATGATGGTGATGGTGATGATGATGATGATGATGATCGTGTTTACGATGTTGATGATGATAATTGTGATGATGATGGCCATGGTGGTGATGATGATGGTGTCCCGATGATGGTGATGATGCTGATGTCAAAGATGATGATGGTGTCCCGCTGCTGATGATGATGTTTATGGTCCTGATGATGCTGATGATGGGATGGTGATCTGATTCTGAAGCTGATCATGGTGAGATGGTGTCCCGCTGGTGATGGTGATGATGAGGTTGATGATGACGATGATGATGATATCGATGATGGTGGTGATGATAATGATGATGGTGTCTTGGTGATGATGATGATGTTGATGATGATGGTGATGATGACGATGATGGTGTCGCGATGATGATGATGATGTTGATGATGAGGATGGTGTCCCGATGATGATGATGATGAAGATGGTGATGCGGATGATGGTGACGATGATGATGGTGTCCCGATGATGATGATGTTGATGATGTTGCTGATGATGATGACGGTGTCCCGATGGTGATGATGTTGCTGCTGTTGTTCATGATGATGCTGATGAGTTGATGATGACGATGGTGTTGTTCCGATGCTGATGGTGGTGATGTCGCGATGATGATGATGGTGACGATGATGGTGTCCCAGTGATGAGGATGATGGTGATGATGATGATGTTGATGATGCAGGTGATGAGATGATGATGATGATGGTGCCCCGATGATGATGATGATGATGATGCTGGTGACGCGGATGACGATGATGTTGATGATGATGACGTTGATTGTGAAATCGATTGTGATATCGATAGTGAGACCGAATGTGAGATCGATAGTGAGATCGATAGTGAGATCGATAATGAGATCGATTGTGAGATCAATAGGCAGATCGATTGTGAGGTCGATCGAATGAAATAGATCGAGTGAGATCGGTTGTGAGATCGATCGAGCGAGACCGATAATGAGATCGATAGTGGGGTCGATAGTGCGACCGATCGAGTGAGACGTTGGTTCCTCCCCCCCCGAACCTCCTTATCACCCTCGCAGAAAATTTGTTGCAGGGGATGGCGGTGGGTGTCGGTACCGGGCTGCTTGGGCTGGTATGGACTTATGTTTCGGATGGACGATGGGGCAACATACTTTGTACATTGCAATGCGAAGCGGTGAATGGAAAACCCGGGAGGGGGGGAATCGAGTTTTCTTGAAGGGGGGAAGCCAGATGGTGTTAACCATGTAGTGCAATGTATATATGTGTATATATGTATGCGTATGTGTACGCATATATATATATACACATATACATATGTAAACATGTATGTGTGTGTGCGTAAGTTGTGCCATCGATGCTGAACAACCCATGTGGTGCAATGTATGTTGTGTAATCGAACTGCAGCAATATACGCTGCACGATCTATGTTGTGCAGCCTCGCGGATGCAATCTACGCGGGGCAATATATGTTGTGCGATTTATGTGGCATCGTGAAAATCAGCTCCGCCGTGGTTCGTGCATGGTAAGGTTTCTCTTTCGTTGTCGGACACCGTGCAGCGAGCCAGAACGTTTCTGCGGAACTCAACGTGCCCCCCTCTGGTCGATGCGACACCAAAGTCGACGCGCGCCGCGACATTGAGGAATTCACCGGAGATGAAGATTGAAACTACTTGCGCGCCTGCACCGTGGACGACCCACTCTTGTCAGATGGAACAAGGAGAGGCAGGTAAAGCACGGCAACAAGTGGCACGGAAAGGACAACGGTACGTTCCAGTTTGGACGAAAACTATGACGAGATGTCGGACAACTTGTTTGTTAACAAACACGCGGTTTGACGCTGAATGGGTGTGCGATGGATCCTATAGGTGCTCCATGACTCCCGCAAGTGCGCACGGGCAGATTCGTTGACATAGCTATTCGACAAAATGACCCAGAGACGTACCCAATTCGTTGTACACATGAGGCGACTATACATCGGACAGATCCATACAACACCGAACACTGAAGAACCCGCCGCCCGCCGTGCCCTTGAACGATTCGCCATAGAACGTCGGGCACGAGCCACATGGTTCGCATATGCGGCGTCGCTCTTAAGAGTCAGATCGTTGGCAGTAAGGCGGCCAAGAGGGAGCGTGGAAACACAATAAAAAGACGATTCGAAACATGATTAATGGGAGCAGCGCCGTTGGACCCCCCAGCGTCGCAACCCAGCCCCCCAGAGGACGGCGAGGTCTCAAGGTGATCTGCGTAAGACGCATCTCCGCTGGGGCCCCCAGAAGCCCACGAAAGTGGCGATATTTTCGCAGATCGCAGCCCCTCAGCGGACGGCGAGATGCCAAGGTGATCTGCCGAAGACGCTCGTCCGCTGAGCCTCCCAGGAGCCCACGGGAGTGGCGACACTGTCGCAAATCGCAGCCCCGCAGAGAACGGAGAGCTCTCTTGGTGATCCGCATAAGACACACCTCCGCTGGGCCTGCCAGGAGCCAACGAACGTGGCGACAGTGTCGCAGGTCGCAGCCCCCCAGGGGACGGCGAGGTCCCACGGTGATCTGCATAAGACACACCTCCGCTGAGCCTCCCAGGAGCCCGCGGAAGTGCCGAATCTGTCGCACATCGCAGCCCCCAAGAGGACGGCGAGGTCTCATGAAGATCTGCGTAAGACACACCGCCGCTGGGCCCCCCAGAAGTCAACGAAAATGAAACAATTTTGCAAATCGCAGCCCCCAGGGGACGGCGAGGTCCCATGGTGATCTGCGTAAGACGCACCTCCGCTGGGCTTCCAAGGGCCCACGGAAATGGCGGCAGTTTCTCAGATCGCAGCCCGCCAGGGGACGGCGAGGTCTCGTGGTGATCTACGTAAGACACACCTCCACTGGGGCTCCCGGGCCCCCCCCGAAAGTGGCGACAATTCCGTAGATCGCAGCCCTCCCCCCACCGGACGGCGAGGTCTCGTGGTGATTTGCGTAAGACGCACTTCCGCTGGGGCCCCAGGGAGCCCGCGAAAATGACAATTTCGCAGATCGCAGCCCCCCAGGGGATGGCGAGGTGTCACGGTGATCTGCATAAAACACACCTCCGCTGAGCCTCCCAGGAGCCCACGAAAGTGCCGACACTGTCGCAGATCGCAGCCCCCCAGGGGACGGCGAGGTCTCATGGTGATCTGAGTAAGACGCACCTCCGCTGGGCCTCCCAGGAGCCTACGAAAGTGGCGACAATGTTGCAGATCGCGGCCCCCCAAAGAACGGCGAGGTCTCGCGGTGATCTGCGTACGACGCACCTCCGCTGGGCCCCCCAAGAGCAAACGAAAATGGCGACAGCTTCTCCTATCGCAACCCTCCATGGGACGGCGAGGTCTCGTGGTGACCTACGTAAGACGCGCCTCCGCTGGGGCTCCCGGGACCCCCCGAAAGTGGCGACAGTTTCGAAGATCGCAGCCCTTCAGGTGACGGCGAGGTCTCATGGTGATCTGCATAAGACACACCTCCGCTGGGGCCCCAGGGAGCCCGCGAAAGTGACGAGAATTTCGCAGATCGCAGCCCCCCAAGGGACGGCGAGGTCTCGTGGTGATTTGCGTAAAACGCACCTCAGCTGGGCCTCCCAGGGGCCTACGAAAGTGGCGACAATTTCGCAGATCGCGACCCCCAGGGGACGGCGAGGTCTCATGGTGATCTGCGTAAGACGCACCCCCGTTGGGCCTCACAAGAGCCCACGGCACTTCACGTGACGGCGGCCGAGCGAGCCACGGGCACGAGGCAGGACACAGGCGGCAGGAGAGAGGGAGAGGAGGGAGAAGGGAGGAGGCAGGAGGGGGAGGAGAAGAAGGAGAAGAGGAGGATGGGGCAAGCAGTGATCTTTTAAAAAGAATGCCCAACCAAGGGAGGGTTTGGAACAATGGCTTAACACTATACTGCGATGTGAAGCTCCAGCGCGCGTGACCCACATGGGATTGTTCTACACACAAACACGTCCTTGCACTAGATCAACGGGTGTCCACCGCATGCAAGTATCTGCATAGGGACATGCCGTGGCACGATCTCGTTGCGCACCGACCTGTGAAAGTCCACGCGCACACGCAGCTGTATATACACATCTATTTATACTACAGCTACAAATACAAGACGGACGCCTGGCCCCAAAAACGCATGAATGTGCGATGGGAACTGCTGGGGCAACACCCCAGACGGTCGGGTTAGTTGGTAAGGGCATACTCTTCCGAAGATGCAAGTGTGCTGGAAATGGATCGTATGCAAAACTGGGAAAACCTACCAGGGCACTGAGTAACGGTGTAGAACACGGCATGTAGCCGGGACACGCGCAGGCTGGACAGAGCAGAACGCTAGATTGCTCGCACCCTGTTAGTTACGTATGTGTGTTTCACAAGAGTCCAACTCGGAGCCAGCGCTGGCGAACATTGTGCGCCCCTGGTCCTCAGGATGGCTGGCAAACCACGGAGCTGGATCTGCTCGAGCATGCTGCTCGCGCCGCCGAACCCCTCCAGCGGGTCGTCCTCCGCGGAGGCATCAGTGTCCGACTCGAAGAGCACAAATCTGACATCGGGGTCCGTCCCCAGTTCGGCCGTGTCCGCAGTGGACGCCCTAGTCGGGGATGCCTCCGGGGTGTCCAGAGCGTCCGCCTGGATCCCTCTGTGCATGAAGTCTTCGAGCTGGACGCCCTCTTGGATGAAGTTTTCGATCTTCGGCAGCTCTCTTGCGCTGCGTCTGGATAAGGAGTGGGCCCTCGTGCAACGGTTTGAACAGACGACCGCGGCGACATATGCCACATACGAAACAGGAAACAAAAGGCTTTCTGCAAACACAACGGTCAGACAGTGGAACTTGGACGTCGACACCCCAACGAGGAACGTAAGTGAACCTCGGCGTCACCTTTCGTCCTCGTGCCCTGGAGACCACCTAAGGGCCAACCCAAGGGCCACCCTCACAAGGCAGGAGGGACAAGGCAGGATGGGGGGCGAGGATGAGAAGGGGACGGGGATGCGAGAAGGGGGGGGACAGGGAGGTGGTGGTGGTGGTGATGAAGATGAGGATGAGGATGAGGATGAGCATGAGGATGATGATAATAATGATGATGATGCTGCTGATGATGATGATGATGAGGAGGAGAAGCAGGAGGAGTCTCGTCCAACTTTCGCTGCCTGATGGTGCCGTCCCAAAACGCCACCACCATGAAGACCAGGACCAGAAGGTAGGAGAGCGAATCGCGACAGAACGGCACGGCCTGGGGGGTCCTCCTCATCCTCCTCCTTGCCCTGCTTCCCTCAGGAGGGGGGCCAGACAGGGGGAAGCAGAATCGGCCAACCGTTAAACAATCTAAGCCGCAGTCTTGGGCCACAGGCATTGCAGATACGTGCATGGCGAACACTGGTAATGGGTATGGGGTGCTCAATATCTAATGAATAAAGAGATAAGGGGTTCAGCGACGAGCGCTGCGTAGGCAATGAGGGCGTGCGTTGTGTATGTCGACAATCGTCGATCGTGTACGCGCGCTTTGTTGACTTTTGTCCACGATAACTCGGGAGGGGAGCGAACAGAATGGACACCTCCAAGCAACGATCTTGGTGAGACCAACTTGCCGATCGCACTGCGCTTACACGCGGCCTCAACAAGCACGTGGCTTGGAGATGCGCGCGTCGTAAACATAGAACGCCAGTAGTCGCCCGTGTCATGTTGGGGCGAGCGCGCGCGAACACCCCTGGGATGTATGATAAAATTTGTGTGGTCCCCATAGGCGGCTCCCACCCTTGGGCGCAGCATGTCGTTAGAATTTACCCCTCTACAACATCCTCTCCTGCACTCACTCCCCTTGGCCCGCGATTGGCCCAGCCGTCCTGAAGACACCCCGCCGACGCCCCAAGGCGGCTCCAAGAAGCTTACAAATGGCCCAAGGACGGACAAAGAGAACCAACGAGAGGCCCTCGCCGCTCGTCAGCGTGCCGGCCCATCATGGGGAGCATTCCCAATCTCTCCGAATCACCTCTTCGTCCTCGCACTGTTCTTTTTCTACTACCCGTCCTCTACAGTCAAGACCCATAGTAAAGCTGCAAGGCAATGATGCAAGAGCCTTGGAAGTCTCAGTTTTGATTTAGAGCTCTTGGACGACAACATTGGCGCAATGTGGCCCGAAGAAGAAGGGATGTAAGGGTAGCCTTGATGAAGCAGCGCGTCCTCACTATTGATTTTGACAAAATTCCTCCTCCCTCCCCCCCTCCCTCATCCGCCCTCCCTGCTCCTGCTCCTGCTCTTCCTCCTCCTTCGGCTGCTGATTATTTGTCGACGCTAGCCAGACTTCGAGCGGGGCTAGTGGCGTCGTTGCTGCTGCTAGCAAGTATTCACTAGTGTCCCGGTGGGTAGACAACTTCCACCCTCGGCGCGCGGCGATCATCGACGACCACGGCCTGGATGTGCGTCTGCCGATCTGGGAAGCGTCTGAAGCGCTGGAAGTGCTACCAAAGCAACTGCGACGTGTCCAGATGCCGCTTTTGGGCATGCCGAGCGGCGGCAACACGTTGGCACTATCGTGCGCAGGTACGCATCGCAGATGGCAGCGAACTCCACGGCCACATGTTCAGCATCTGCACCAGACCCTTGATCCGGGTTGCTTGAGCGCCACCACGGGACGCTCAGCTATCGATTGCGCTTGGGCTCGGTCAGTTCGACCAGCGTCAGACCAAGCACGTCGCGAACACGGAGTGGCGTTCGTCGCGGGCTGGTCCAGCAACATCCTACGAAAGCTCGAAATTCTACGAACCAAACTACGACGACGCGTTGCGCCCAGCTGCTGGCAGAAGCTTGTGCGCCATACGCGGCAGCGCCCGCGCATTATCCGACTCGGCGAACACCGCGCCGAGGATTGCCTCTTCGCCCGCCTCAGGCTTCCAGCAGCCGGCGCATGCGCTGCCCACGCAGCGAAGGTGAATGCGGCGGCTGCGTTCGACGCTTTCTCGGCAAGGGCGCCTGCGGCCCATGTCTAAACTTGCATCGAGCATCGACGACGTTGGCCCGCGCAACTCCTCCTCGGACTACCACATTGCGAAAGGCGCGGCCGCGGAGGCAATCGAGCATTTTCCCGAGGCCAGCAGGGGCATTAATGCCACGTCCATCAACGCAGAGAAGCTCACCATCAGAGCCACCGCGATGAACTTGGTGGATGATGCATGCGGCCACCTGGAGTTGAGTCGAGCGGTGGTCAACATGAACATCTCATATCTCGGCATAGCCGAATCTGCTGGAGCTGTTCGGAATGGACCCAGGGCTCGGATGAAGCAGCAGACCCGTTTTCAGCCCATGGGAAAAGGATTCGCAAGGAGAAGGTCACGAGACAAATATTAAACTAATCATCAGGAAGTCTCGTTCCGGAAAGTCCGTCGGCAGGGCGCTGCTCCTGCGAGCTCGTTCGGGGTGGAGGTCCAGGGGCTCGACGCTTCGGAATGGCGATCCCACCAGCGTTCGATGTCCAGCTTTGACTTACCATCGCACGAGTCCCCCTCACTGCCAAGCTTGCTTTGCAACGGTGATGGCAGTGCGAGGTTAGCGCTGGCGCCGGCCATCCAATGAGGCGGGGCGAGCTGGATCGCCGCGACCCGCCCAGCGCGCGCTCTCATCAATGCAGGAGGGTTCGTGCGCATGCGGAGACTTCGTAAAGCCGAGCTTTGCAAATCGTGGCAGCAATCCAGCAGGGCGGATTTACGTGCCGTTCTTTGCCTGGCACGCGTGGGCCGGAGAAACGATGGGCCCTCCCATGGGCTGACCGTGGCGTTTCTGTAGTGGACTTAACGCAGATCCCGCCTTCATTGCTAATGGACCAGCTTTAGCTAGTTCAAATGCAACGCGAATTTTCCCTGGCCCAAAAGCTCGGCCATCCTCCCGGAAGCCAAGCGTCAAGCGCTTTAACCGGTTCCAGAAGCGCATGGTAGGGAGCCTTTGTTGCCGAGGGTTGTGGGCCAAAGCTCGAGCAGAGAGGGTGGGGCACTTGCGAGACTGGGTCTGTTCGTGCGGAGGGAGGACACGATCAGGAACGTGCTCTGCAGTTGCCAGCTACCCCAAGTGGTGGAAGCCAGAGGGCAAGCTGAAGTCCCTCCCGAACGTGTCCAGGCTACGCTTGCTGAGCCTGAAAACTGAATGCTAACGGCGGGCATCTTCGTTTTCCAGGACAGCGGTTTGCCTAGCCCGCTGACCTCGTTTGAGGTTGACGTGCTGGACCAGGATTGGACCCCCTTCGATCAAGATCCTAAAAATATTGCCAGACTTACGAGCAGCTCGCCTGTTAGGATGGCCTCGGACGGGGTCAGGTAGAAAGCCTTTCCTCAGGCCTCTCGAGCGAGCTGCTTGGTCTGTAGTGATTGCCCAGACGAAGGCGACGACCTTGTAACAAGGCCAAGCGGCGATGCGCCAAGAACGCTCCCACAGACCACAGCCATGGCTGAACAGATCGGTATAGCCATCTGTGGTCAAGTAGCTAGTCGGCCTGCCGAACTTGCTTCATATTGTAAGCCAGCCACCAGAGCTGCCCAGCAGGATGCTGCAAGGCAGCTGGCAGTCTGGAACACGGTCGCGGGCATCGGATTGTTCGCGCAAGGGGTTGGAAGACACACCGCTCATCCAGGCCGCGCGGCACGTGAAAGTGAATCGTTCGTAAGATGAGAACATGCAGTTCGAAGGCACTGAAAAATGGCTTGCCATGGCCAACACTGTCGTCGACAGACGAGCTAAAACAACACTCGCCATCCACCAAACCGCGAATCCGACCTTTCTTCGTGATATCAATCGTGCCGCCACCCGTGCGCAGAGTTCCTTGACATCAACTGCACGCGCCCATCTTTGGTTCACAACCGGGATGAGATGGAAGAGGCCCACCCAATTCCGTGCAGGCCGCTAAGGCAGCAAGCCAACTGGCACGTTTGGAAGCAGGGCGATGTCCGTTAGCAGTGTGCTAAGTGCTTAGTAGCGGCGGGCGGACCGCCAACCGCTGTGCACATGGGCGGCTGCAAAAGCACTTCTAGCTACCGTGGACGGTTTCTCTCGAACCCTCTTGGTCACTCCCTCGTCGCCGTGGCTGGGCTGGCTCGTGACACTGGCGAGGACCCGTCGGCGTGCAGGGTTCGGGAGCAGACCGTGGCCTGTGTAAAGCGCGGAGGGCGGTCCCAATCACGTTTGGAGGAGCCAGGCCGCCCCTGTGCGCTCCTCACTCGTGCAGGCAAGGAAATCCTACCACTTGTGCGCTAGGGTAATGAAGTGCCCGGATCGTCGTGTGCCGCGACCCGCCCGATCCCCAGGGACCTCAGGCCCCACGGCTGCGCGTAAGATTCGTTCGGCCTCAGGGGCGGCCCCCTCCCGTGAGCAAAAAAGCTGTGAACGATTTGGTTGGACGAATTCGGGTGAAGAGGGATACTCGGAATTTTCAATCCAGGGGTAGTTCTGCTGGTGCTCTCAAAGGCCTCCGTCCCTGTTCCCCGACTCCATCCCGATTCGCATTGCAGGCTCGAGCGTCTAAGCTCATACTGTTTAGTGCTGTGCGCTCCCCCAATAGGCATGCCATTCGATGCCATTTCGCCCTCAGTTCCTCCCACACGTCTTCCCCCCCCCCCCCCCCCAAGGGCTTCCGCAACGGCTGGGGGGAACACGCAGCCGAATAGATTGGCAAGGCGTTGGCCCAACGTTTGGCCACATGGGCGTTTACAAAATGCAGGGGGCGGCGGCGGTTCGTCGTAATCAGGCGTTTTCAAGTCATAACTTCTGCGGGTAAGCTGTCCTCCTGCTCATTTCTGACTCGTCCCTTCCCTCCTCGCTGCTAGCGCAGGCCTCCACCGAAGTCGGCCCCTGGTTGACCAACAGAACGCAGCCCAGCACCAGGCTGAGGATAAAGTTGGCGGCGCCGAGGAATTCACCCACGGATCGGGGGGACCCTCGGCATGTCGTGCGATGCCCCCCCCAAAGTTGTGGAGGAGGAGAAGGAGAGGAGGAGGCGGCGGATGAGGAAGAGGAGGGGAGGGAGGGAGGGAGGAGAGAGGATAAGTGGGTACGGAGGAGGAGGGAGCAGTCGGGACGGACGAGAGGCACGAGGAGGAGGGAGGGAGTGCCGAGCTGCAGAACGAGGAAGGTGATGAGGGAGGAGGAGGAGAAGGAGGAGGAGGAGGAGGAAGAGGAGGAGGAGGAGGAGGAGAAGCAAGAGGAGGAGGAGGAGGAGGACGAGGACAAATGACGAGGCGGAACCTGTGACGAATCGTGGCGACGCCACGCCCGCAGAGGGTTGCGCGGCGATTTCCGATACAACTCCTGATGGGAGACGGGTGCCCAATGACCGAAGAATCAAGGGCGGTGGAAACTAATATAACCAATGGTGCTCCTCCTCCTCCTCTGCCTCCTCCTGGCACCAGTTGAGGCCTAATTCTGCGATCCTCCTCGTCGCACTACCAGGCGTGTCGGCAAGGCAGGTTTCGCCTCAGAGTGCTTCACCCGACATGTTCCTGAAGCCTGAAGCGTTTTATGACAGTTACGCGGACAGAAAGCGAGTCGTCTTCGACATGCGACTCTTGCCTCGATGCCGAACGCAATCGTCTGAATAACCTCCAACACTTCCACGACTCGAGGGTGTCCCGTTTCAAAATGTGGCCATCGCCTGCGCGCTTTAGTTTCAATTATTTTCAACAACTGCAGCGATGGAGAGCGGTTCCTTTGCAAAAAAGGCTCTCGCTTCAGTGTCCAATCGCTACATGGATGAAGGGTGACTCCTTCACCAAACAAGGTTCTCGCCCGAGACCTCCTGATGGATGATGGCTAGGCGTAAGAATCGTGCAACAGTTATATAGGTGGAGAGCGATTTCTTCTTCAAAAGGGGATCTCGCTGGACCCTTCCCTGACCTGGATGATCCTACCATTTCGAATTCCGTGAGGGAAATTGTGATGGGAGGGTGTATTGCAGTATCGTTGGTGCATCCTGGGCGTACCACGGGCCACATCGTCCTCCTCCTCCTCCTCCTCCTCCTCCTCCTCCTCCACATCCGTCAAAGTCGACCCAGGAAGCCTGCCCTAGGCTCTCCCCCTCCTCCTCCTCCTCCTCCTCCTCCTCCTCCTCCTCCTCCTCCTCCTCCTCCTCCTCCTCCCCCGATTCCTCCAGCTCCTCCTCCTCCTCCTCCTCCTCCTCCTCTTCCTCCTCCTCGTGCTCCTCGTCCTCGTCCTCCTCCTCCTCCTCCTCCCTCTCCTCCTCCTCTTCCTCCTCCCCGCCGCCCTCCCCCTCCCGCCACTTTCCCTCTTACCAGTTTCTCGTCTGTGTCCCAGGGCTTCACAAAATTTCATATTCGAGGAGGTCCAGGGTGCACGCGCGTCGTGCTTCTCAACAGGGCTGCTCCGCATCTCGCTTCGCACTCATGCCGAGGCGCCCCCGAATGGAGAGAGCTAGATCCTCAGGAGGAGCAGGGATGCGACAACGACGACGACGACGACGACGACGACGACGACGACGACGACGACGACGACGACGACGACGACGGAGGAGGGGGGAGGGGAACACGCTTACCAAAAGAGGGGATAGACAGCCAATAACAGGGGGCAGAACGAGAAGAATGACAAGTCCGCGAGATAGCCACAGACATACGCAGTGCCAGGACAGGCGCGCACAATCTGCTATATACGCGCGCGCAGCGACACCACGGACGGGCACATGCATATATCTAGTGGTACGGTAAAGATCGAGTACCAAATATGTATATACACACTTCCAGACAACATGTGATCATGCGGCGGTACACGCTGCCGCACTGCGATCTTCCCAGCACTGCTGCAGAAAACGAGGGCAGTAGATAGACGGGGAGGGGGGAGGAACCAGAACAGGAGAAGGCTATATCGGGGGTTGCCAACGACGGACGACGATGATGACGACGACGAGGGCGAAAAGTGTCCGCGGCTTCCTGCGCCACTCTGCAGGGGACCCCCCAAGGCCTCGTGAGGCCCTTCGGAGGCCACCTAGCCTCCGGGGAGGTCCTGGGGAACACTTGCCAGGGACACCTTTGGCAACTTCTGGCTATAGTCGGGGAGGCGTCTACGACTCGGGTTCGGGGGGCTTGGGTTGGCCTGACAGGGCCAACAATGAGAATGACGAGACTCAATCTGAAATCTGACGCGAACTCCCGCTGCGAACATCTCACGAAAACGGGACCGTCAAAATCCAGAACGAGCTCGTCAAAAAACGTCGGCGAACCCGAGTTCCGGCTTACTCGAGTCTTCTGTTTCCCCGATATAGGCTGTGGCTCAACGTAGGACGAAGAACAGCCCGCTGCGTGGGCGGGTTGCACATCCTGACGTGCGCCGAGCTAATTATTCCAATTCTTGCCCTCATATGTCCAGGCCCCTTCTCTGGGGGTAGTTCTTTGTACCAGATCCGTTTTTGTTCCCGGGGCCCGATAATGGCCCCCAGAGGCCCAAATCGAGAAATCATATCGTCGGAGATCTTAGCTTGGCAGCTCCTAGCTATAGGCTGTTGCTCAGCACAAGGCAGAATCACGCCGCGTGGGCGGGATGCATTTGTCGGCGGGCCCAGCTGCGCCTGAGATCCGTCGTCACGAAAATCACAACATCGGAATACCCTAGACCCAGTCCTTCTTCGGCGATTTCCAAGCCAGATCGATCTGTGAGGGTCCGGGGGTCCGAAGCTCGAGCAGGGACCGACCGTCCCAACATTCCTGTATGAAGATCTTGAAACCTGACTGTCTCAGTCAGAAATGTTCTAAAAACATCTCGTGCAAATCACCGAGACGCCTCGCCACTGCTTAAGAAGCCGGGCGAACGCGCCCAGTGTGAACAGAACTGCAACGTCCAGCTCCCAGGGATGGCCCAGCATAGGCCAGCAGCCCGCCGCGTCGGGGCAGGCTGCACGTGCCGCCAGGCACCAGCTAGCCCTGTGTGCACTCTCCGCGGCCGCGGCGCCTTCTGGCCCGGAGGGGGGGAGGATCGGTGAGGAGGAGGAGGAGGAGGGGGAGGAGGAGGAGGAGGAGGAGGAGGCAGCCTGCGCGCCGGGATCCGTTGCGCCGGTCCCAGACGGGCCGCCGCTATAGTGGACAGGTCCCCCGGAGATCCGTTGGGCCGTCCCTGAGATTTGGACGCTGCAGGTTTTTCACGCTGGGTGCTTTCGTCTGCTCTCGGGCCTCGGCACCAGCACAGATCGATGCGGCTCGGAAAATGCAGCAGAAAGATTTGGTGTGATTTTGGGCTAGGGTCGCAGAATCATACCTGGTCTAGGGCTCCAGTTGTGATTTTTCACGATGTCGTTTTTTTTCGCAATGAGGTAGAACAATAGCCCAAGGCAGCTCCTAATGACACCCCCGAGAAGCCAACATCATTCTAAACCATGTGGTCTTCACTGTTGGTGTGCTTTCTCGCCTCTTCGCTTCCAACGGGCCTATGAGGCCGCAGAAGGGTCCCGAGATCGCACGAAAGAGCCCCAATGGGCCATAAAACATAACATGACGCAGGAAAGCGCCCAAGGGACCCCAAAAGGCAATCTTTCGGGCTCTCACGGGGGAAATTCCAATTAGCGTGCCCAAGCCATAAAATTTGAAGTTTCATTTGATCAATTTGGGCTTCTCGGGGGCATTCTTTGGCGGCGCGCACAAGGGGTGGCCTTCAAAGAACGCGGCGGGGGGGATTCTTGGAAGGACGGGGCCTTCACAGTCGTAATGGACGACGCAAAAAAACACCCTCCTTAAGACGCACTCCGACATGCGAAGCCCTTTAGTAGAGGCGCCAAAGGAAGGAATCGAACAGGAAAGGAACTTTGAGTAAAAGCCCCAGGCTGTTCAGTAAACGCCAGCTATGTGGGTCGGGGAGATCTGTCCTCCCATGATAGAAGAGCCTGGAGAGGCTGGGATGGCATCCAAGAAGGCCCACGCCCTCTGAGAGGCCCCCCCGCCCTCTTGGAAGGCCGTCTCCCTTGAAGCCACCCCCTTGAATTGTGCGCGCCGCCAAATCACGATGATGCTCAGAACGTGTGCTGGCGCCAGCGTGTGCTTGTCCATCGAAGCCATACAGTACGACGTAGGCGGTGCAGTGAGGGCAAATACAGGCTGCGTGCCATCGGCGGAGCTGGACGGGACGAACACACACACACACACAAAGACACACACGCACATACACGCACACATGCAAACACACACACACACACAGACACACACACACACACACACACACACACACACACACTGGGCTATCACACGTCCCCAGGGTCATCTGGAGAATCCCTGGGGATCATATTCTTTTGTTCCTGGCAGCGCGCCGGCTCGGATTTTGGCGGCGGCTGGCCCGCAGCCCAGCGTGGCGGCGGAAGTGCAAGGCAATGCCAAGGGGGGTCACCACTAGATAGGGGTTCGCCACTGCCTCGAAGAAATGCCACTTCCTCGACGCAACGGGGCCCCCAGGACACTCCGGAGCACCCCAAAATACCATCCAGAAGCTTCCTCGAGCCTCGACCCTGGAATCTCGATCCTCCGGATTTTTTCCCAACCATCCTGCGGTGTTGTGTCCTCGGTTTGAGAAGACGGCGCCCCGCGTTATCCTCCTCCCGCCTCCTTCCTCCCCCTCCTCCCTCCTCCCACTCCTTGCCTCTGCCCTCCGCATTTTGCTATTTCGGCACACCCCTCACACGTTTCGTGGCCCCAGCAGCTCCACCGAAGGCCCCACCAGCGCCCGCATGCCGCCACCTCGCCATTTCGGCACACACCTCACAAGCTTCGTGGCCTCATAGGGGGCTCCACCGAAGGCCCCAGTGGCAGGGCTCACATGCCGCCACCTCGCCATTTCGGCACACCCCTCACACGTTTCGTGGCCCCATAGGGAGCTCCACCGAAGGCCCCAGTGGCAAGGCCCGCCATTTCAGCACACCCGTCACACGTTTCGTGGCCCCATAGGGAGCTCCACCGAAGGCCCCAGTGGCAGCGCCCGCATGCGGTTCCACCCCCCCATTTCGGCGAACCCCTCACGCGTTCCGTGGCCCCACGGGGTGCTCCATCTGAGGCCCCAGTGGCAGCGCCCGAATGCGGTTCCATCCCACATTTTGGCGCACCCCCCCCCACGTTTCGTGGCCCCATAGGGAGCTCCACCGAAAGCTTCAGTGGAGAAGGCCGCCTGCCGCCGACGGGCCACTTTGGCACGCCCCTCAAATGTTTCGTGGCCGCATAGGAGGTTCCACCGAAAATGGTACTCACAACTGCGATGCGTATCACTGCTCATGGTTGGGTCTTTCGCCAGGCTTGTTTCCCAACGCAGACACTCCCCGACAACAGCTCACCAACATGAGCTGGCCGCCTGAAATCGATGGGCCTTCAGCTTCCGTGGCCACGTGCTGCTGTCCCAGCAGTGGCCACGAAACCCGTCGGGCCGAGGAGGCGGAGGCGGGGACGGGGGCGCCGCGCGGGGGACGGGGCGCTGCGCGGTGGAGCCTCGAGCCACAGGAGGCGCGGGTGACGCCCCCAGCGGTGACCCCCCGTAGGCTGCCCGACGGGACGGAGAGGCCCCGACGGTGGCCCGCCGGGGCGGGGCGCAGACGGCCCAGCGAGACACGCGCTGGCCGGGGTCACTTCGCGGAGGCCACGCGGCCCCGCCCTTTGGCCGCGTCCAGGGCCTTCTTCTTGATCTCCTCGCGCTCCTGCTGGTGCTGCAGTTCCTCCTTCTC